TGGCTTTAGCACCTCTAGAATAAGGAGGGGGCATTACAGTTTTATGTTCTCAGAGCTGGCATTGAAGCTTGCACATCCTAGGGTCTTTGGAATGTTTGAGATGGACCACTGGGTTGGGGTACGGTGTAATGTGAAAAATGTTCCATTACAGTCTATATGGGGTCCTGAGGACAAAGTGGGGGAGCACTCAGCCTATTTTTCTATTTCTTGGTCAGAGTATGCCCTTCTTGCCAAATGATAACCTCATCATATCGGGGGGGGGGGGGATGCAGCCTCATTTGGATAATACTTTTACTTAAACCAGTCCTTATTTGGTGGATTACATTTTTGAGTTGGAACTATAATTTAGAAGCATGTCAGTTGGCTAAACAAGGCTCTTCTGTGTCTAAACAAGGACTTAAAGGCCATGTTTTTACAGAAAGGGTGAATCTATTGAACAATTCTACTGGTGTCTGAATGGTAGTTAGCGCATTTGTTGATAGAATCTATGTAGAGATTTCTCTAAACTGTATGTAAGATACTGTTAACACAGTGGCCTTTTCTGGGGAGGAGGCCTAATGTGCCATTCAGATGAAAAAGAGGATTTCTACATTTTCCTTTGAGCTTTCAGTACTATTTCAACTTTTTATTCATGATGACAGTGTTTTACTTTAAACATGAGTTCATAGAATTGATGTGAATTCTAATTAAGAGTAACCACCTTAAGTAAGTTTTTGGGAAGTGACTCTAGGGTCAGGGAGAAAGTTAGGACTGTCAGATCTTGCAAGCATGTTTCTTCCAAAGTGGAAGAGGTGTATCCCTGTGAAATGATTGAACAGGCAGGGGATTTTCGGTGGAGCAGATGAGAAAAAGTTTTCATGTGCCGATGCATGGTCAGAAGGCCCAGGGCCCACAGATGGAATGATGGACTCTCACTGGGCTCTCACATAGTTGCCTACTGTTCGAGTCCTAGACCCAGTGGCTTAAAATAAACTACACTGGGTGCATGTGGATGAGTGTCCAAAATCCTGAGAGGAGAAGGAATTGTGGCGTGACCATCCCCTCTAGGGGGTGATTTCTCGCTTTCTGTCTCTCCTGTTTCTGTTTCTCGGCAAGCGCATGCGACCTATAGCAAAAATGTCTTTAAAAAAAAAAAAAAAAGGCTCCTGGGATAGGTAGTTTTTGCAGATACTACCTTTCAAAGGCCTTGGGTCCATGGATGTTGGTATTTAGATCAGTTCTGTCAGCCCAGGCCAGGCTACTGAGTGATGGGCCACCCGAGTTGATTTTATGTTGTGTCACAGAACAGTGGACACCAGGAGTGCCAGCAGATTGTAAATATTAGTACCTGGCTCTGATGGAAGATTTTTTAAAAAATGCTTTCTAGCATAGACAGTGTTTTTATTTATTTATTTTTTCCTTATGGTTTGAGTGAAGAAAAACACCATTGACTGTATGATAATAAACGATATTGGGAAGGAATGGTTAAGGGAATGAATATTTTGAAGATTACAGTAGGATCAGCATTGTTAATAAGGGATATAATTTCATGCACCCAAATCTGAAAATGCTTGGATGTGATAATATTCCTTTTCCTTGTCTGTCAAAATCAAAAGGGCTTATTTTGTAATACTAATATAGTGGACATTTTGGGGGGCAAACTTAAATAGATCACTTACATATATTATAATCTTTCCCACTATACTTTTGTTAGATAAATATTGGGTGGTTGGAAAAGTCATGTGCATTTTTGCATAGAAAACCATAGAAAAAATATGTCATGACTTTTTCAACCATTCAATAAAAGATTTCTGTATATATTGTTTTAAATGTATTTCAAAATTCTACCACCCTTCTTCAAATTAACTATGCTAAGCAACTTCATTCACAGCAACATATACATGCATAATTTTAATATGTTATACTATACTTACCTTGCAACTTGCTTTTTAACCTAATAATAGATGTTAGAACTTTTTCTGGGCCAGGGAACAGCAGATGGCATAGCAGTTATATTGTTGGACTCCCACATGGCCGAAGGCAGTTCGAGTCCCATACCCGGTGGCTTAAAAAATGCCAGGCATGTGTGCATGTATGCTCAAGATCCCTGGAAGAGAAGGGATTGAGGCATGGCCATCTTCCTGGGGGTGCAGTGATTTCTCACTTTCCCTTTTACTGTCTCTGTCTCTCTCTCTCTGGTGAGCTTGAGCTCATGAGCCCTAAAGCAAAAACCTCTACAAAAAGAAAAAAAAAAAACCACTTCTTCTGGGCCATTAATTATAATTCATCTTATACGTTGTAATGGCTTTAGTCATCTACAATTTTTTTTTTTTATTGCCAAGGAAGTATATGTACAGAAAAAAAAAAAACCACTTCTTCTGGGCCATTAATTATAATTCATCTTATACGTTGTAATGGCTTTAGTTATCTACAATTTTTTTTTTTTTTTTTATTGCTAAGGAAGTACTTGTCAGACAAACAGAGGGAGAAAACACCCCTGAATAGGGAGTGGTCAGGCCACAATCCTATCTCCTCTCTTTCTCCATTCTGTCAGGATTTGGGACTTGTGATTCAAGCCACAGAGGCTAGGATTCAAATAGTGGTTACCATGTGAGATCTGGCCCCCTTAACTACTGGGCTATGGGGTCAGCATAGTTTTTACAATTTGAATGCATCATATTTTCATTGTACTTAGGTTTGAGGACAAATCACTAGACTTTGTTCAAGCGGAATGTATGCCTAAAGAAATCCTAAGGGATTTTATAGAGAATGGGAGGTATTTAAGATATTTTGTATTCTATGAACTGGTATCAGGAGCATGAAATGAAATAAGGAAATAGAGCTTCAAAGAATAATGAAGATCTGCAAAAGGCTTTGTCAGATAAGTTCTAAATTATTATTGCTATAGTGTTTGGGTCAAAGTATTTTTGGGACAAATCATATTTAAAGAAAGATCAGACCTTGTAGATAGCAGTGGATTTATAAAATATATATCCTTGTTTATTTTTTAAAAACATCAATGCTTTGTTCTCTTTACTGATTAGTTCTGTTTTATCCTTTGAAATGCTTACCATTATTTTTGGGAAAATAAATTCCGTAGCGGGAAGGGCTGCTTGCTTTTTCAAAAATATATAACAAGAAAACCAACAATTTGTGGACATTTTGGTCATGTACTTTGACCATGATTAAGAGGCTACTGACCAGTTCGAGACCACTGTTTTATTAAAATATAGGTTACCACATTGAAGACTATAAATAGGCCTTTTATTGGTTGAAAAACTGTTGTTCTGTGCCCATCATTTTCCTCCCCTCACCAGAAAGTTCATAGTGTCATTGGCTCACACATTGTGTTTTGCTCACACATTGTTGGTGTTTGGGTTGTGAATATGGCAACACTTTAGAAGATGAGTCAGCTGTTTCGTGGTGGTTATTTAATACTTAAAATTCTTTTTATAGGTCTAGAAACTCATTATTTATAAAATAATCTATTTTACTGAATTTTTGGCCTTCGACCTCATTCTACTTTGTGGTATAATTTTCAAAATGTTAATACTCAGTGATTTCACATTCAGTTGTACTTTTTTTTTTTTTTTAACCCATTATCATTTTGCTTGAGCAGCTTCATCTTTTAAAGCTTTTTGAAACCCTTAAGGCATTAAATACAGTGCTGGAAGCTTGTTAAATAAATACGTGTGACACCACAGTTTTCATAGTGCTTTATATGGGTTTACTCGCCATCAGTTAAATCTGTTACAAATAACACTTTTAATTGTTGAAAACCTGATGTTTTGTGAACCAATCCTCCAAACTTCTTGTCCTTTCCTCTACTTGGAGAATAGTTTAGAATATATTTATCATCACCTGGTCATGCCATGGAGCCCCTAGTCCAGATATTACTGGCTTATGAGGAACTCTGACCTAGAATACAAGCCTATACATTATTGCTTCTTTTTAGACATTAATGTATGTGATCTAGTAGGAAAAAAATAATGTTGGTAGTTCACTGTGCTTCTAGTTGTAGACTATGTTTTATGAGTCAACCAATTAACCTATGTGTTACCACTTTTATGATAGTCTTGGAAGGTCAGTGAGATCCTTTTTTTATGAAAGAAGAAATAGAAGCTACGAGAGGCATGTAGTTGTCTGAAGTCTTAGAGCTGTTAAGGGTAGAACTGCTATTCAAACCCAGTCTACCAGACCTGAAAGCACTTCTGTTTCCCAAACTGCTCCTAGTAGACTTTAGTTAGCAAATGATAGAGAAAAGAGAGTGGCTGGAAAAGGAGGTAGATGATTTGAGGGGCTCTCTGAACCAACTCAGCCACTTCTAGTCTAGCTATATGACTTTCTCTCCTTTTTATCCCTCATTTGCAAAGCAGGGATTCTAAATCTTAAGATAACTGTGAATATTCAGTGAAAATGTATGAAAAGTCTTTGACACCTTCGTAGGTCTTCAACAAAATGACCGAAACTGCCCATCCCCCATCCCATGCAGGTCATGTCACCATTTTGTGAAAGTAGTTGCCCACATTGACCCAAGTCCTAGATGATAGACCATGGATTTTAAGACATCTTCAGAATTAAAATTTGTAACTTATTTATTATCCCCAAAGGGAAGATACTGGTTACAATGTTTCCATCGTGTTTTTCATTGCAACTCTTTTGAAGGGCTGAACAGATTTCAGTCCCGAAAGCAATGTAATTTGTAGTAGGGGTGTTTTCTTTTTATTTTTAATCATTTGTTTTAATCCCATTTGAAGTCACAAACATTTCTGAAGTGTCTCATGCTGCTTAGGGCCCTGGGCTGTCCTTCTGTCTTAGCTTATTGATGTGGTGAGCTGTTAGAAGAGGTAGGAATAATTGAAAATGAAACAGCATTAGGAAACAAGTGAGTTGTACGCATATTTCTCTGACCACTAGAATTTCGATTGGGCTAATCATTGAGTTTGTATAAATTTTATTTGTGAAGCAAGTACATTTCTTTGACTGATGCTTTCTCTTTTTCTCTTTAAAATTGTTTTTAGGATGCAGAATAGAAAACTGTGATTCCTGCTTTAGCAAAGATTTTTGTACCAAGTGCAAAGTAGGTTTTTACTTGCATAGAGGCCGTTGCTTTGATGCATGTCCAGATGGTTTTGCACCATTAGATGAAACCATGGAATGTGTGGGTGAGTAGTTTTTAATGTAACTCTCAAATGGCAACTTTTATTTTAACCCTGTTTCTTAAAAATATGCATGTTGGATATATTCGACCTAAAAACAAATGAGCTTTTCTGTCAAAAGTAAAGCTTAAATTCTTTACTGACCTTCTGAATTCTTTAAGGTGTCATTATGATGAGTAGTCTCATATATCTTGCTACAAAATTTGCTAGCTGTATATTGCTGAGCAAGTGAAGTAGCACAGCTACTTCAGTGTGCTGAAAAAATGTGTTTATCATCTATGTAACATATCCTTTTTTTATTAATACCTTTTTAGTAACTATTTGAGAAAAACATTTATTTAGAAGAAAAAGCAACATTTTAAGGAGGACCATGTCAGAAAACTGTTATTGTGTGTTTCCTATGTGTATTAAGCATGGAGCTTTCTGCTTCATAATTTGCGGGGAGGAAAAAAAACAAACAAACAGAAAACAAATATATTTTGTGCCAAATACGTTTTATTGATGGTTGACTGAATGTTGCAAAATATATTAAAACATTTATACTTACTAAATTTAGATACCTAGAATGCATGCTTTAATATACACCTGTGTATTTTGTGTACATTCATTATTTGTGAAAAATAATCTGGAATACACATTTTACAAGTTTTAGATTTTTTTAGTATCTGCAAAATACTTTGGAATTTTTATACCACTGATTAAAAGGGAAAGATCTGTCAGTTGCTACATTTCGTGAATGCCTGAATCTAATCCTGGATATAATGACATGTTCCCCCCCCCCCCCTCACCCTGGTATTATTTGGCATGCTATAAATCTGGTATGACATGTAATAGAGCTATCTATTATATATTAGACTTTTTATTCCTTAAGATGGGGAGATAAATTTGACAACTTTTTTATTCTTCAGAAATGTTGCTGAAATAGTGTGTAATTATATATTTGGACACTTAAAGAGCAGAATACGATTAAGTGAGAGGTTTTTGAAGAAATGTATACACTTAAGTTCCTATTTTAGTGTGAGCTAATGCATTCATACAGGCGAAACTCCATTAAAAATAAGAGTCACTGTAAGAGCAGATGCAGAACATTGAATTTGTTTTTGAGAGGGAAGACCCACACCCATTACAAATGTCAGTGGAAACATTTATGACATCTTTTACTATAAACATATTACAAGTAGAGTTCTGTGCATTCCTCCAAATAAAAATATCAAATGGCTTTGAAAACTCTCTGAATAGTTTAGCCGTGATGCCTGCTGAGATTTAGAATGCTGTAACAGTAATTGTGTGTGCGTCTCTAGTTCTGAGTCCTTCTTCATGAATATGAAGGGGCTTTTCAATGGTGAAGAGAAGGTCTAAGTTTGCATATTTTCATCCTTTCACTAACTCCCTCCCAACCTCCCCAGAGGAGGTAAATCCCTATTCCATGACAGAAATTTAAGAAAGGGGATGCTATAACCTTTTACATATCTAGGAAAAGCATATCTTTTCAGACTTCTGATCGTTTGCTTACTTTTCAAACGATAGTAATGTACAACATCAATTTAGGAAATAAGCAATACATACACTATAGTTTCCAGACACCTGTTGAAAGAACATCGAGAGAATCAGAAAATGCAAAACAAGCTTCACGTACTTTTTATTTTTTTTTTTTAAGGTCAGGGAGGCATTTAGAATAAACCTGTAACTGTTGTCCTCAGTCATGGTATAAAAATAGTGTCATTTTCTTTAGGTTTGAGCTGTTTAATCTTTTAAAAATTGTCCATTTTAAAAGTGTCATAGACCTGATCTTTAGTCTTCTTTCAAAAAATGAACTAAAGAAAATGGAAAGTGACAGCTTTTAATTACTTATGTGATATTTGTTGTAGATGTAAGTTTGCTATGGTTCAAAGAATTAAAGATTCCAAAAAAGCGAGTATAGGTCTTTGTGGGCTATAAAACTTAATTTTTGATGTCTAAGATGGGGGGGGAGTGGAGAGTCACTGCTACATAAATTGGGCAGCAGCAGAGGAATAGATACCAAATTGATGTCTTTGTATTTTTAAAAAATCTTTATTAGAAGGATGTGAAGTTGGTCACTGGAGCGAATGGGGAACTTGTAGCAGAAATAATCGCACATGTGGATTTAAATGGGGTCTGGAAACCAGAACACGGCAAATCGTTAAAAAGCCAGCAAAAGACACCATACCGTGTCCAACCATCGCTGAGTCCAGGAGGTGTAAGATGGCCATGCGGCATTGTCCAGGAGGTAGGTTTGAATAATTACCATCCTGTGCTGTGTGCTTTTCCGAGTTCTCCCCCTCTCTCGCCCCCCTCCCTCGCCCCTCTCCCTACCAATGAAAATTACTTATCCATGGAGGAAACCTGATAATAACATGGGTGGAGGGTAAAATTCTGTGTTGTATTTCAGAAACAAATGCTTCGTTTATAAAGAATATAAAGTGAATATTTCATTTACTTTCATGATACCTTCTTAGAAGAGTCCATTACAAATAAGCTTTGTAAAATGAGTTTTCTAAAAGTGGGACTTTTTTTTTTTTTTTTTTCCAAATGTACCATAAAAGCTGTTCTTATGAAATCAGGCCTTTGCAGATGTTTCTCAGAGCGAAGCTGCCAACTTTTGGTTGAGAAGAGTTTAGATTAGAACGGTTTATGGAATCTGTAAAATCATCTGCATCATTACTAGTTGAAGATGACAAGTTAAAATAAACTTGCCCCAGCACTGGTAGGGATAAACGTTGTCTTAATGTTACCACAATTAGCTGTTTCTCTTTGTTTTGATAATAATTTGTAGAAAACAGCTACTGGCATGTGTGTGTTTATTCAAGGCCTTGTAGTAATTGTGCTGATTTGCAGTAATTATTCTGTAATAACAGGATCAGGCCCATTTAGAAATGGAGACGAGTACACAGCTAAGGTGCCGGCTGAAGCGGAGTCCTTGAGATGCGCTTTTCTGCACTGTCACTGTGCTTCGTAACGCCACAGTCGTCGCTCGTCCCATTTATCGTATCAGTAAGCGATGCTATGTTGCCAGAGATAACGTTGAGATTTCTAAGTGAGAGAGCGAGAGCGAGAGAGAAACAAAGAAAGTTGTGTTTGGAAATCTGCCCTGTAAAATAATCAAAGCTTTTGTTTGCCTTCTTATTTTTATTTATTTATTTTTTTTCTGTTGGTACATAGCTTTTCAAGCTTCAGGATGATAACCTAGGGAAAAAAATATCTGCTTAAAATGGGTTGACATCTACATTTTGCTGCCTCATAGAGAATGTCTATGATCCATGAAAAAAGACAAAACTTATAAGACTTGAAGACTCCAGTCGGCCTTTGAGAACTATTAGATCCAGACTCAGAAGCTACTATTAGGAAAGCAGCTTTTCCTCTCGAATTAGTCTTGCTTTTCTTTACCCGGTCTTTGAAACAAAGTTTTTCTTTTCTTTTCTTTTCTTTTTTTTTTTTTTCTTTTGAGGTGGGGGGGCTGCTTTTCCTTAACAAGGATGGTTTTGTTCACTTAAACTGAGTATTTTTTAGTCAAAATATAAGAAAATATTTTCTTACAAAACTAATAAGCCACTTCTTGGATAGCTGAGAGCATTTAACCTGCAACCTTCTGCCTAAAAACAAACCTGATGTATTCAGGTATTGGAAATAAAGACTTTCTTTGTTGGATATTGTTTATATAATAGCCCCTCTCATCCCCCTTCTAGCAACATGGTGCCCCAATTGTGGTTTACGTTAATAGCAAAAATTAAACTAAAAATGCTTTTATGCCAAACATGCTTGTGCCTAACTAGAGCCAACACATTTCTCTTCCCTCCAAACTCTATTTTGACCTAGCACCAGTTTTGCTTCAGACTTTTCTAGATAAGTTAAATTGCTAACCATAATGTTTGCTACATTATATGACCAACAACAGGATCCTGTCTTAATGGAATATCACCCAGCACCATTGGCAGTTTAACTGATGTCAAAACAAATGCTTATGCATGATTTGCAAATATTGTTTTTTTGACAAGTGAAATAGCAGTGGATGTGGATAACATTTGGTAAAACCTAAATACAAGTTAAATTGATTAGGAAAGACTAACTATTGCTCTAATCCCTGTGCATACATTTATAGTTTAATAAACCTACTTTTATATCATCTTTAAGTAGAATTTCTAAGTTCTATTGGAACGGATTTGATCATTTTATTAAAAGGGTGCAAAAGTAGAATTCGTTGTTGATAGAAATGGCAAATTACTTTGCTACAAAATGAGTTCTATGTACAAATGTAGGAAATGAAAACTAGCAAATTAATTTTGGAACTTGAGTACCAATTGATAAAAATTGGCATAACTTCCAGTGGAGTACCCCACCTTGCCTCAGGTGAGAGAGGGAAAGGTTCCTTTCTTCAATAGGTCATGGTGATTAATGGAAGAATGGAGAAGAAAACCGCTTTATCCCATTTTACATCTTGATTTAATTTTAGTGATCTGCTTTGACAAACCATGCAAAAATGTAAGTCGTAATCAGGTTGGGAATACAGGCATTTTTCAGATCTTTTCAACATATGTATGGATTTTTCTCCTGTCGGAGCCAATCTTAACCTGATTGCACACAAACGCAGCCTGAACCTCCTTCACACTAAAGCAGCAGCACATTAAAATCAGCTGCTTTTGATTACTGGAAAGCATAAGCTAGAGGTCAGCTTAATGGAATAGTCACTAAGGGTATCAAATATTACACTGAAAACTATTTAATATGAGAAAATAAATGGGTATAAAAGTTTTTAAAGAGTGTAATGCTCTGGCCTATTTTTGTCCTTAATTGTGATATGCTAATGTGCTTTTCAAAACAATCAAAGAAATCTGGAAATAGTGGATTGACTTATACTCGAAGTACTCAGTGTTCATTCTGAAACTTTTCTTTTAGATCAGTTATCTTTTCTTTGATGATGCTGCAACCTGTAAGATTTCATAGACTTTTCTAACACTCATTCTTCAGGGGCTTGGTCTGCTGATGAGGATCTCTGGGTCTGTGCATCCTGCCAACTCATGAATTCTGGGACTTCTGGCAAGTCACTCAACCTCTTTTGGCCTCTATTTCCTCATTTATTAATAGAGGGTATTGGGGTAGGTTGCCACTTCAGTCCAGTCTGGGTCTACAATCCAATGATTCTAGGATTAATTGTCAAATGATGTGGGGGAGTTCTGTGGTTGTCACAGGAAGGATGAGGATGAGGCTTGGAAGTCCGAGAATACCATTTCATTACCAAGAAATGGAACATTTTCCAAGCAGCTGTACCGTATGTCTGCTAAACCTTCTGCATCTGGCAGGTTTTACCCTGCCATTCCAGAAAGGACTCTGCTTGTGTATTCAACCCTCAAAGACTAAACAAGATTCTTTTAAAATCTGGATATAACCCATGGCTTAGCTACCAGTGTAGTGGAAGTATAGAGAAAGAAAAAAGAGTGAAAAAAAAAAAAAACAAAAAAAATAAAACCCCAAAACCAAAAAAATAAAACCACCAACCATGGAAAAAGAGAAACATGGAAAAAGAAATATTGAACAGTGAGTATAGAAAACAAGCGAAAAAAAAAAAAAAGAGTAGCCTACTTAAAAATTAAAGGCTGTACTTATTGTAGGTATATAACATCTTTTCTTCCCTTCTCCCCATACCAAATACACCAACTAATGAAATTAATCATGTTGGGACTAATTTATTAATGCATAAGCTGAAACTTTAAATGGAAGGGATTTCAAATCTATACCATATCGTATATTAGGCAACATCTAAAGAGAAAAATGCAAGCATGTTGTTATTATATATTTAAGTGGCAAATGGAAGAACAAAAGCGTGGTTGCCCAAGTATAATGCTGGCAGGTACTTATATCCAGAAAATGTCGTCTGTAGACAGCTGTAAACTTCTACATATCTACATGGCCAACGTCATGACCTCAGTCTGAAATTTTCTGTCTTGTCTGTATGGGACTCCTTGTTTTTACGTTAAGTCCTAAAACAATTCATTTTGCTAATTTATTTAGTCAGATAATCACTGAGCACTACTTTTTACCAGTCGCTGGGCTTGGCAAGAGATTGCTCAAAGAGTAAAGACTTTTCTTTAGAGGGCTTTTTCGAGAGGGAACAATTCCAGTAAAGAAATTAGTAGATGAATGTGCTTCGTTTCACATGAAGAGAAGTGAAGCGGGACAGGAAAATAGGTAGTGGCTTGGAGGTGAGCTGGTTTATGGAGGGTGTTCATAGAAATTGAGGAATTACATTTGATCAGAGACTTGCAGGAGAGCTTTTGAAAATTTAAGGGAAATCTTATCTGTTTGTGAACATCTTGATTCTCCCACCATATTTTAGGGAAGAGGAAGAACTGCATTCCAGGGAGGCTCTGACTGCTCCAAGGTGATCTTCAAGTTACTAGTAGGAGAGCCAAGAGTTGGACCAACATCTCATTGCATAGGAAACCTATGTTTTCTTGTACCTTTTCTTTGCTTATAATAAAAATCAAAGATAAAGTCATGGTTGCCCAAGGTCAAACAACTCAGTTTGTAGCTTATTCTCCATCCAGTGAGAGATGATATTTTACTTTTGCTCTGTAAATGCTTCTAAAGACATCACACCTTGCCATTATCACTCCTCCTGATATCTTTCAACTTGAAAATGAAATGCATCCCAAAGGCCCTTTTATAAATGCCAGAGTATTGAACTATTGGCTTTGCTTTGATTAAGCTGCCTTTATTAATGACTCTCTAATGTTAGTGTCATAGATCCTAGGTTGTTGGGAGAAAAAAACGTATGACTTCAAGATTGTTCTTTCCATCTTTACTCTTTCAAAGTTGGTGCTTCAGGTGATGCTACCTTGTGTTGAGCCACATCCTGCATTCATCTGTGAAGCTCTGGATAGTTGAACCTGGCCTGCATCTAACGTCTCTGTGCCCAGCATGATATGTATATATATTTTTCCAGACACCTTTTTGCAATCAGACTCTTACTCTAGGTAATGACTCTTGACTCTCCTTGGGTAGCTTTCTGTTCCTTCACTTGCAGCCGCCTCAGCTCACCACTGCACAATCATTAATAACTGTAAATTGCAACCCTTTAAGTCCTTGTCACATTTCTCAGTACTATACTAAAATTTAAATATGTAATCTGCTACTGTATATTAATTCAATTCGAAAATGACTTCTCTATTATGAGAAATTACCTAATCATTATCTACTTTATTTTTGGGCGATATATTATTTGTGACTCTTCAT